GGTCGCTCTACCGACGGTCGCTCTACCGCCCGATCCACTGCCCCCCGATCCATTACCGCCCCCCGATCCATTGCCCCCCGATCCACTCCCTTGCTGGCGGTCCTTGATTGACCCAACAGCACCTGGCACACCACGGGGTCGGGCACACACTGCTCGCTTTCACACTTTAGGACCCACGAAGAGAGGTCCTGATGGGTGTTGATCCATCGCCGAACAAGGTCGCGTTCCACATCATCGTACGAGCACACACGAAAGGGGGCGACCGCCGGCTCCGACCGCTTGGGCGTCGTCCTGGCCGCGTCGAAATAGTTTTCGTCAAGGTAGCCCAGGTCGTGCGAGTGGGGGTTGGTGGTGAAGCAAGGCACTAGACGAATCGAGGCGTCGTCGAAGGCCTTAGTCACTACCTGGCGCCAGAAAATGTGTGCTCCGGCACTCATTCCGTCTGCGATTCCTGACCAGCGATCACGTGGGAAGGGTAGACTCTCCTTAAACAAGAAGTCCATCAGCGGTTCCGTGAACTGCGGCGAAAAAAATGACTTAGACAGGTAGTCCGTTAAAGCCATCAAGTCGTACTCGCTGCGGACTCGCACGGCGGGTAGCAAGTCGAGCAAAAAGCGCAGTTGTGAGTTGTCAGTGGCTTTTTGTGCCGCGGCTAAGAAGGAGCCTAGCGAGTAGAAGAAACTGGGTGCATACGAACCAAGCTCCGAGTCGAGCCAAGACACCAACAGTGGGCTCTCTAAGAGAGATTCTTCTTTCCGGGCCGACTTGTCTTCGTTGTTTAGGTTCATGCCGTCCCAGGACAGTTGACCGCGTTCTTGCGCCATGGACGCGAGCAGTTCCTGCATCTCCGGACTTACCACCGGGCGGTCCCGCTGCGTCGCCTTCTCCACTTCCTTATTCCGCGCCCGAGCCCGAGTCAGGTCCTTCAACTTTTCTTTTTCCACAAGAAGCTCACTGCGACTCACTTTGAGACACACACTGTCCGTCTGAGCAGACCGCATCACTGAGGAAGCACGGATACTGTGTCCGAAGGCCTTTATCGACTCCATCTCGGCGTCACGCGTACGCGTAAAAGGCAACGTCTGCTTGGACAATGCCGTCCAATCTTTCACAAACGTGTCATATGCACGTAGCACTTTGAAAATGTTGTACACCACCTCCTCTAAATTCTCTTCGTCCGGCGAATATAGCATCTCCCCCCGCAGGTTCTCCACGAAGTTTTCAGCCAATACCAGCCGGTGCTTCCTGCTGGTCTGCAAGGCCAATTCCATTTCGCAAAGAATCGAACGAAAGTGAGCTATGATCTGCTCCTTCAAAGATGAGAAGTCCGGTACCTTTGATATGTAGTCACGGAAAGCAAGTATGTACGATCCAAAGATCTGCACTTCGTCACATCGACTATCCATGTTGAACGTGGGAATACCAGGGTCCATGGGCAAGCCTGTGAAGCTGCCCACTTGGTCCATTTCCGATGTGGGTATAACCAGCAGATTTGTAACCAGTTTTATTTGCTCATAGACCGATAGAAATACCGAATTTTGAAAGGCTTCTGGGATAGTCACATCTGGGCAGTTCGGCTGATAAGTGGCCGGGAGCTCTTCTTCGGCATCCAGAGACGGAATATAGACAGTCGAAACAGGGTACTGAAGCAGTACAGTCTCAAACGCTTTGGTCGGTGGGTCGCAAAACCGTTCCAAGGCGCGCAAGTACTCTTGTACAGGAGTATACTGTAGGAGTTCCGTTACCGGCAAAGATGCAGGATCCAGAACCCACCGGTTCGACGGCGGCTTGAAAAGGTCACAACCAAGCCCCACCACCCGAGACATCCACAGGCGCTGTCGCCCGACGAACTTAGTCAAAACATAGCCATGGAGGACTGTGGCGCCCAGCAACACTTGACTTAACAGTCGTACCATAGAGTGCACAATAACATAACTGGCCAAGGTGCAGTGTCTTCTGCTCCTTTACTAAGTATGTCCCGAGATGACTTGGACTCTACCTGACTTGGACTCCACCTGACTTCTAACTAAGTTCCAACTAAGCTAGCCCCAAGGTGGCCGCGCAGGTTGAAAGTGACGACATTGAAAACAACCATGTTTGCCAATGAAAAAAAACTACTTGTTCATGGGTCGGCAGCTGTCTACTTCCGTTGGTACGTTATGTTTCTCATTAACTGTTTTGACAAACGCCAACATACCCTGCTCGGCTTCGCTATGACCCAGCATAATGGAATCCGAGCCGCCGATTTCCGGGGGGAGATCTTGCACGTCGCAAAACTCTGTGATCTCCTTTATGTGGTCCTTGCCCTTCTTGATGATGCTGATTTTTTTGGTGGTAATAGGGTCCAGGAAAGGTGTAATGGTCGACCAAATCCAAGAGACCCAGCCCGGTGCATTAACTACGAAGATCTTGTGCGCTCTCTCGGGGTAGTGCTGCCCAATCACCTGGCTGCACCTCTTCAGCATAGAGAACGTGTCCCCCGTTAGGTCCGACATTGAGCAGTTATCGATGTCGAAAACAGACACGAACTGCGCGTCCTCCCGCGGCTCCAACACGCGCCACAGATACTCGGTCGTAAACGTATAATGCTGCTCCATGTCGTCCAACGTCAACCCCGCCGACCATACCTCCGCCAGCCGCCCGTGTCCAGGACGCTCAATATAGATATACATTCCCTTAGACCCAATCTTGTGCAAAGCATGTGGATACCGCTCTTTGATGTACAGAAAATTCGGATGCGCAATCTCCAATATCTCGTCCACCTTCTTTGCAACCCGCCACTCCTTCGTCTTTTGCCACCGACGACGGGCCTCCTCCGGCGTACTCGTACCCCGGATAAAACTGCAAAACCAGATACTCCCCAGGCAATATTCTGTACTCGTAATCCCGCCCCTTCCCCCCGGGGCAACTCGTTGAACTCTACCCCCGGAACACCTTCCCCCAGAGAACTCGGTCCCCTAATCCTGCAGAGTGCTTACCAAGGAGGTATCTCGTCGTTTACGTCTTGGGGGTCTCCATTGGCATACAGAGGCGGAATATTCATTTTCGACATGAAAAAGGTCGCGCTCTTCGGCGGTGCCTTCGACCCGCCCACGGTGGGTCACCTTAGCCAGATAAAACTCTTATCAGCGCAAACAGATGACCAAGTAAGCAGCCGCCAGCCGATCGCACACGCGTGTGCACACACTTCATTAACGGCGCAAATGCACGGACGACGAGGTATGCGGTTAGGGCAATCGGCTATTGGACACGATTCGTATAATACCTTGTGGTCAGCTGGGTCGCGGCGACAAGGCCGTGCACGCCACGGATCAGCAGCGGCTGGACATGATTCGGACAGCACTGAACGAGTACCGGGATTTATGCATGGAGCCCCTCGTGGAGGACATTGAAGTGGATGACACCGAGATCGCAAAGGGCCGGTACGTTCCAACTTACGAAATGCTGGACCTGTTCGCCGAGCAGCACCCGGACGAGGAATGCTATGTGGTCATCGGCGAGGACCAGTGCTGCCGCATGAGCCACTGGGTCCGCGGTGACTGGATGAGAGACAATGCGCTCTTCCTCATCATGCCGAGAAAAGGCTACGCTCCCCCGAGCGGCCCGCTGCCGGCCGAACACGTAAAGAAATTCGTTCGCTGTCCCGTTCGAGAGGACTGTTACATAGAAATTAGCAGCACCCGAGTGCGCCAGTGGCTCAAAGAAGGACAAACGGGAAAGGTCGACCGCTACGTGCTCCCGTCAGTCCTACAGTACATCCAAGCCCACAATCTGTATACTTAATTACAGTCAGTGCTGGAACAAAATGTGTCTATTTTGTAACGCATCCAGTGCTAGAGCACAATCTGGCTGATTGAGGAAACCGGGACGAAAACAGTTGTGACGGTTGGGTGGCTGACAGCAGGAGGGTTGCTAATACAGAAAAGGGCGCCATCAAAGAAGCTGATCTGGATTAGCTTATGATGTCGGTTGTTTCAAATCGGGTTATTCCCAATCGGGTTGTTGCAGTGGGTTGTGCCTTCCAGGAGAATTCCAACTGATTCGGCCCAGACCAAAAATGCGGCTATAAATACAGTGAGTGAATTAGACAGTAATGAATCGGGCAGTAGTCAATTACAGTAGAGAAGTGAGCCTTGAAAAATCAGCTCCTCTTAGACCAACGAGCTCCTCTTATAACTCTTAGGGAAGGGGGCCGCACGTTAGTCCAACTTTTGTCCGGGCGCCTCCCTTCGGTTTGATCGGTCGTTGAGTATGGGCACTTCTTCAGTCGTCTTGAGTAATCTCTTCGTCCTCTTCGTCCTCGTCGTCGCTGGCTTCGCAAGCCATGCTTCCTTCCAGGTCCTCCTCGCTGTCGTACTCGATATCTAGGTACCAGCCGGTAGCCAAGGGTACGATTCTGTCCCGAAGGATTTGGCCCAGCTCATACTCGACCGAAAAATAGTTCTCCAGCCGTTGCACCTCCGACTCACGCATGACCTGTAACTCCTGCTCAGTCGGGAACACACGAGTACGGAAGAAATTAAAGAAAGACGGTCTGGCCTTCTTTACAGTAACCGTTCGCATCTCCTTAGACACTACACATACGAAACACGTTTAACAAGAGTGTGTGTGGTGTGTATCGGTGTGTGCTGATTGTAATGATGTGAATCCTACGTTTATGTCTTTGACGTTTGGATATGATTTTGACAGTGACGTCTTTTCCGGGCTTCCAGTCAATCTTGGTGCCAATAGCTTGGACCAATAAGTTCTCACCTGTCTCTTCGTCTTCGTCCATGACGAATTGTTTGGTAAGGACACTGTTAGTAAAGAATGCGTTCGGCTCGAAGTGGAAAGTTATCCTGAAGGACTTTTGCCAATCACCGTCTAGGCAGTCAGCTTGGATGTCGGTGATGTGTTTAAGCACTGGTTCGTCCCACACCTCGATGCTGGCACTAAAGGTAGCGTGGTGCTTTAGTGCTTGCAACCAAAAGTCGGTCACCAGAGACTTTTGCGTATCAGATCTCGGCTTTAATATTTCAGCTCGCTTCTCGTACAACGGCTTCGACGCCTTCAAATACTTCTGGATTAATACCGCATACTCTCTTCTGCATTCCACCCTCAACTTATGCTGCTCCATGTGCAACTCACATAGCTGGTCGATAGCACCCTTCGTCGCCTCCGAGTCAATGAGTCCACTGCTGCTCAAGGTGCTCTTCGCCCTCTCTATCTGCTCCAACTTCTTTTTAGGCTGGACGACCGGCATTAAATTTTTCCCTGCACAAATGCCCAACAAGAATGACACAGAAGAAGTGGAATGGTTGAAAGAAATAACATCTCTACTGTCACTTTTACCGGATGCCCACGGCCTGTATCTGCTTTTGCAAGTAAGATGATGACCTATCCGATTGCAAAACAATGTGAACACGTGTGTGCACACGCGCCGACTACAGCGGCCGACTACAGCGGCCGACTACAGCGGGTATGGCCTGAGGTACATACACCTACATGAATGGGCAGTGTGGGTACCCCTAGAGGACAGTGAGGGTTGCGTAGCTGGGTTGCGCACACAGTATGGATTGTGTGGTTTTAGATGGATGATTATTTAGTGAAGAATGTGAATGAAGAAGCACTGAAATCTCAAAATGCGGTTGACGGACTTTTTGTATCAGTAATCAAGGCGGTTTACTCGGAAGAGGACCCGGCCGTGGCATTGGAGCGCGAGCTGCGGTTCCGGAATCTATTTAAACAATCGCCCGTCTTGCAACGACCAACGGAAGTGGGCACCTTTGACTTCCGGGGACCCGCGCGCAAGCGGCTCCTGTCCGATTTTGTGGGCACCTCTTCCACCCGTTGTACGAGCAGCGCAGGAGGATCGCTGTTCCATGCCGAATGGAACGTAAACGGATTCTCCATCGTGAGGCAACACCGACCCCCACCGGTCTGCCCCCCCACCGGTCTGCCCCCCCACCGGTCTGCCCCCCCACCGGTCCTGCCCCCCCCCACCGGTCTGCCCCCCCCTCCGCCCGCGCTGATGTAACATAATTCGCTTAGAGTGCGATGGATCAGTCGTCGTTTCGGTTGGTGTCTCCGAGGTATTTGATGGCGACGAGTAGCAATGTGATTGTGCCTTTGAGGATGATGTTGACGATGGATGAGGCACGATTGAAGGTGCATTTATCGCTGGCGGATACGTTGAACGTGACGTTCCGTGTGTATGTGAACGAGTTATTTGTTTCCGATGAAGTGAGTCACTACTTCGGAGAGGCGCCGTGGGCGACGGTACAAGTCGCGGCGCTGTTGCAGGACCTGCCCACCGATCAACTGCGTGTCGGAGTGATCATCTACTCCGCCGGTGAGGCTCGGAGACTACGCAAAGGTACAGATATTGATGCGCTGCCAAGCATGAGTAACTTACTCGATGATAACAATAGCAACGCCATCAAAGAGATACTCGCCCAACACAAAGTCTCATGCGGTAACTCGAACTCCTGCAGCCCTCTCGCCGGCGTCTTCACTCCCGAAGTAGGCAACCCCGCCACCGCCGGCATCTTCGAAAAATGGTGATCTGCGGCGGGGCGAATTACCCCTAACCGAATAGCCGCAGGCGAATAGCCCTGAGCTATCAGCCTTAGGCGAATAGCCCTGAGCTAACAGCCAGCCGTATGCTAACAGCCGTGTGCTAACAGCCGTGGACTGAATGTATTTATAAAGACTCGGTGTCTTTGCGAACCAAGCGACGTGCCCAAGGGCGCGCACCAGGCCACGCACGACGAGTCACATACTCGTCGCTAGGCCAACAGTCGAACCAGACCGTTCGCTGCCAATTTTTGTCGGGCCTGTCTTTTTGCCGGTCTCTGGACTTTATCAGTCTTAATCATTGCCACTGCGCCAAGGTTGCTTCGAACCACCGTTGTCTGGATATAAAAATTCCTACTGGATGAAATGACTGCCTTGTTCAGCTTGCAATCACTCATTGTTGTTCTGCTGCTGGGGATATGCACGTGTGCATACCTCAAGGGAACCTTTCCAGGGCTGATTAACCACAGGAATGACGGCTTTTATGCGGTAGGCTGACAATGGTTGCTGGCTAATACTTGTTGAGTAGGTGCTGGGCAAATTTGCGATCGTTGGCGAACGTCTGAGTGGTTCTGTGAGTCTGGCCTGCGCGGCCGCAGCAGTGAGCGTTCTTGTTTTAAAATGATGACCGCGCGTGTTTGCCGCTCACCGGGGAGTGCGTATCTGCAACCGACCTAGCTGGGGGGAGTGCACACGCGCGGTCCGGCAATAGTGCACGTACAAACCCACGCTTACGGTGTGCATCGCACCGCAGTGGTTCGGCTGGGCGAAGCTGGACGATAGGCAGTGCAGGCTGAGGGGAGGAGGGACGGAGTTGTTCCACTCCCTCTTTTGTAGCAGCTTTTTTATCGATGCTTAGACGCCCCCTCGGAGGCACAAATGTTGTAACTGAAGTCCCCGACGCCGAAGCGGCGCTGCAGGCGGTGGAGGCCCCACCGGACTCGAACCAGACGGCTTTGTCGCACTTTGTCGGTGATCCGTTGCCGCTGAAAAAGGACCATCCGGAAGAGCCCGGTACGCACCCTGCATTCCGGCCTGGCGAACTCCCTTCTTTCAGGCACGCTGGCGGAAGTGTCGACGCCCCTAACGGCGACCCCTACTGCCACAGGAGTAGACTCGGCCGCACCGAATGAGACAGCGGCTATGTACACAGCGGCGAAAAACTCAGCACCTGCGAGCTCGGGGACCTTGGTGTTGCATGGTGGGCCGTTGCACTGCGAGACTCGCGAGACCCAAGAGGGAGTGACGGAACAGGTGTGGTCGGACGGTACGCTGCACTGGGGCCAACGTGCAGGCGACGAGTGGGTCGAGAAGTGGCAGACGCAGGAGGGCACGGTTGTACGCTTCGGCACCAAACGCGGCCAGGACACGAAGGCCGGCCGCGAGTGGCAGGAGCGCTGGGAGGAACATGACGGTACGCTACGCGTGGAGAAACGTGTGACGCAACACGCCCGGCACGGCCCAAAGACCACCGCCGAGAGCGGAACCAGAATCGAGACCGGGACTACGACCAAGACTACAACCGAAACCGTGACTGGAATCGCGACGGAGACTACCACCGGAACTGCGGTCCATAGTGGGGAGGATGAGGAACGATGGGTCGAGCGGCTGGAGATGCGTGCGGGCGAGGTGGTGACGTCGCGCGTGGGCGAGGATCGTGTGCGCGGACGTCTGTGGCGCACGTTTGAGCGCTACCGCGTAGTGGACGGGCGCCGCGAACTGGTGGAGGCTGACTCGGAGCAGAAGTGGAACGATGGCGATACGGTCCGCGAAGTGACGACGTTGCAGCCCGGCGGACGCGTGTTGCGAACGGAGGCGCGCTACCTGCGTGATGGCGAACAGTGGGAGGAGGTTCGTTATGAAGACCCCGTCACCGGCAGCCGCTGGGGCTCCAAAAAGGGTGGGCCGGCTTCTGCAAAGAAGGATGCCACGACGACTCGGGAGGACCCGACGACTCGGGAGGACCCGACGACTCGGGAGGACCCGACGACTCGGAAGGACCCGACGACTCGGGAGGACCCGACGACTCGGGAGGACCCGATGACTCGGAAGGACCCGACGACTCGGGAGGACCCGACGACTCGGAAGGAACCGACGACTCAGGACCCGACGACTCGGGAGGACCCTACAACCCTGGAGGACGGCGCCTCGGCGGTCCCCGACGAGGCGAAGTGGGAAGAGGAATGGAGTCACAATTCGCGGACGGGAGCGTATTCGCGGCGGCGACGAACGGTGGACGTGCGGTCCAAGTCCTCGCGCGGGAGCGTGGAGAGTTATGATCCGGGTTCGGGTGAAAGCTATCGCGAGGAATGGGGACATGAGTTGCGGGGTGGCGCGGAGCGCGAGTGGAGTGCGAAGTGGCGTCGACGAGACGGGGGGTTGGCGTGGGGGGATGTGAGGGATCGTGTGCAAACATTTGTGAGTGATGAGTTGCAGTGTGAGGTGGTGAAGGGCGAGAAGTGGAGTGAGCAACCGGACGGCGGTTGTCACCGTGAGAAGTGGACGCACACTACACACTACCAGCAAGGCCTCTGCATCGAGACTGAGAAGTACGGACACAACGACTTCGGTTCGGACGCCACTGAAGACTGGTTTGAACGTTGGGATGGTGCTGGACGGATGTTGGAACACCGTCTGGAAAAGAACAACCCTGCCAGACACACAGTAGATGAACGCACCCGGGTTGTAGATGGCGGCACGGAAAATGACGGTGGAGTAGACGGTTTGGATCCAGGCGTGGGATCTAGCAAAGTTTGGGTGGAGCACCACCGAGTGTTCGACAAGACGATTAATGAAGTGGATGAGTGGCACGTGAATGCAGCTGGTGAGCGGTGGGGCTTGAAGAGTGGGCGGAATGCGGAAGGAGTGAGTTGGCGTGAGCAATGGGGGCACTCCGGAGACGAGGAATGGTTGGAGAAGGCGTGGAAAAAGGAGACGGCAGAGGAGTCCCGGGAGTGGGGCGAATTGTGGGGCAGCCGTGGGTCAGAGCAATGGCGTGAAACTTGGGGTAAAGAGGCGGGACGGTCATGGCGCGAAAGGAACGAGACGGATGCGGGTGGGAATCTGATAACAAAGAAGGACGGTGAGAGATGGGAAGATGGGCGACTAGTGGACCGCTACTCCGACCACTACGGTGTGACCGCCGAAGGCGAGACCTGGGCATACAAGACCGGTTTCAACGAGACCCACGGCAACTGGCTTGAGAAGTGGAATGAAACTAAAGAACGAAAAACCGCTTGCAAACGAGGAGACAACTTAGCCGGGGACTCCTGGCTTGAAGAATGGCAAGAAACTTATGACCGCACAGGCAACCGCACACATGTCTGGGCACACAAGCAAGGTGCCAACGCACAAGGCGAAGACTGGCTAGAAGAATGGACCGAAGGACCCGACTTCAAGCACGCTATCAAAACAGGCCGACACGACCAAGATTCCTGGCGCGAAGAATGGGGAGAAGAGCCAGACTCATCCAAATGGTGCCGCAAATGGGCAGCACACGGAACCGACCATTGGGGACAGGCATGGGGAAACGGACCAAACGACAAATCCTGGGGACAGGAATGGAAAGGCGACACCCTCACCAACCAGTGGTAACCGCCAGTGCTAACCGCCGTTAGCATTAAGTACTGCAGACCAACTGACCGACAGTGAGCGTATTTTTTTAACTTGGCCAACAGCACATCTGCCGACCAATCCTTTCAATCTTGCAGATCCAGCCAGCCGCCCGGCTGACATGTTTGTCTGTATGAAGGAAGGGACATCGTCGGCGGCGGTCGGCGGCGGCGGTCGGCGGCGGTCGGCGGCGGTCGGCGGCGGTCGTGGTTTGTGGCTTTCTTTGGAACAGAACTATTGTCCGAAAAACGGGTCACCAGAACTGAATCCCTAACTTGGCTCCATACGTGGTTCGTGTACATCTGCGATTGGGTCCCCCCGTGCGATTAATCATCTAGCAAGGAGTCGTCGGGGGAGTCATCAGGGGAGCAACCGTCGTCAGAACCGTCGTCGTGGGAGCCGCCATATATATCTTCTAAAATTTTGGGGTGGTCGTCTTTCAATTCCTGAGGGTTGTCTTCTGAGTAGTCGTCTGCCAAGTATTGGGGGTGGTCGGGGTCTTCCGTTGCGGCAGGTCGTACGGGTCTGCACTGGAAGCCGAAGCGTTCAAGGAAGTGTCTCGTTTCGTCGTTGAGATACGCGTCGGAGATTTGGAGGCGTTCATTGTGGGAGCCGAAGTCGTCGAACCATTCTGCGCAGTCAGCATCCTCGGAGCACTGGCTGCACTCGGAGTAGCGCACTCGGTGGCGGCAGGAACGACCGAACCGGGACACGTCAAATTCGTCCGGCGGCACAGGCGGCCGGAACTCGGAAGTGCCAAGCTTTACAGCATGTTCCGCCAATAGCCGCTCGTATTCCGGCCGCTCCTCCTCCGAGTCCATGTTGATCGACCGACGTTCCACCGTTCGGCCCTGACTCGGCGTCGCAGCCGCCTCCACTGCTCGGCCAACATTCTGATGATCAACCGATTGCCGACCGTCCGAATAACCTTTGAAAGCGCCCGCAAAGTCGAAGTGGGACTTGGGGGCCTCTCTGATCAGGCGATTGGATGCGTCGATCTCTTTCTGCCAGTCGATCCAGTCGGTCCCAGACCCGGCGCGGTTGGTCCCAGACCCGGCGCCGTTGGTCCTAGACCCGGCGCGGTAGGTCCCAGATCCGTCGCCCCGAGGGCGGCTGGGTTCGGCGGTCGTTAAGAGCGCGCCGTACTTAAAGCGGGTGATGGACGAGTCATAGCGCCCTAAGCCCTGTTCCGCGCGCCCGAGCCAGAGATAGATCTCGGGATCGTCGGGACAGTCGTCGACCAAGTACTCGTTCAGCATCCAAAGCGCGTGTCGGTACCCGCCGAGAAAGCATAAATTACCAACCATCTTCTTGCGCAAGCCCCGCCGCACCTGAATCAGAGGCAACTCCCGACACTTCTCGTATTCCACATTCGTGCTCTGGCACTCCAAGTCAGTCAGAGCCAGTGAATACAAACGGAAGGCATCGAGATGCAACCCCCTCGCGCTCAAGCCATCCCCCAACACCATAATGCGTCGTGCGTAACTCAATATATACCCATACACCTCATCAGCCTCTAACGGCTCACCACCCACCTCTTGGCTCTTATACGCTGCAGGATCGTACTCTTCACTCACCAGATCACTGCCGTACTCATCCTCCGACGACACAAAACCTTCGCTCGAGTCGTCAACATCCAGTCCCTTACTCCCTGCCGGCTCACCTTCCGTCGACTTGGCCTCCGTCGACTTGGCCTCCGTCGACTTGGCCTCGGCCGCGCTGGACTCATTGTTAGACGCCTTGAACACCGCCTCGTCCTTGGTCGCCTTGTCCTCTGTCTTTTGGCCACTGGGTTCGCTGCACTCCCCGTCTTGTTCACTGTTCTTTCCGTCTTGTTGACGTGAGGATTCATGGGCGCTGTTCGTGTCAGTTATGGGATCATAGACGCCGGACCTGATGTCTGGAAGGAGCCAGATCTTTCGGACGATAAGCGAGGTGACGATGGCTCCATGTGTCAAGTTCATGAAGCGCTTTTGGTTGCGGCTGGACGGCAGGATTCCGAACCGGCCTTTGCGATAGGTCACGTCTTCGGGCGACCTTCTGTACCGGGCGTCGAACGCGTGTTCTTCGTCCAGAGGTATATAGTACTCCACGTCGTCGTAGCTCTTGTCTGAGACGGCGAGGAGGTCTGAGCAGGAGGCGCAGTCTCCCCAGTCCTTCCTCCGGATTATATCTTCGCGTGGTTGCAAGGGCAGCAAGATGAAGCAATCCAGTAAGAGTGTACACTCGCCAGTCAGCGCTTGTTCCAGCCACGGGTTGATGTCTGCCAGCCCGATGGTACACTGCTCGTTTTCCCAAGTTTCGGTACCTTCGCGTGTGCACACACTCATGTCAAACTCGACCACCGAAAGGATCTGGCACCGCCGAGAGTCCTTCTGTACAGATAACGGTACAAACAGCCAGGCTTCTTGGTCGTAGACGACCTGGTACTCGTTTTCATGGCAGCGCTCCTTGTAGCGAACTGTGTCAATCATCGGATCGAAACTGTTCCAAGACTCAACCAAACTGCAGTAGTCAAGCGGGTTGAGCTTCTCTCTACTGTACAACTCCTCACACTCCACGTAGACTGTGAACCCCTTATCAAACTCCATATTGGGGTAGGCGTTTGGCTCCTCAGGGCCCACGTACTGGAACAAAGCCTTCTCGCCCACGACCATAGTTCGTATCACGTTAGCCAACGCATGGCTGTATACGTAATTCCCCAATCTAGCTGCTATAGGAACGTCCCACTTGCGCCAAGACCGTCTCGTACTAAAGGCCAACAAAGGGTCGTCATTTGCACCCTCTGCCACCGCGTCCTCCGTCCTTTCCGCTTCCTCCCTCAGAATCTCCTCCACCGAGACATCCTCGGGCAAGTCAAACCAGCCCATGTCCTTGTCAAATATGCACACCACTGCGTGCCCTTCCACAGGGTCCACTGAGTCGACAATACCATCGCACACCTTGAACCGGATTTTGGCGGCCGATGAATGCAGCAAACCAGGTATCTGGGGCCGATTCGTAGTATGCACCACCTTCTTCAACACATTCCCGTACGGCCCCAATCTTAGTTCCTGGCCTGCCAGGTGACGCAACACTGTAGGCCGGTAGCGCTCCTGCTCTTCTTCATTCTTGGCCATACCAATTTTACGTGGCGAAAACCCCGATAACCCCCGTCTCCACAAGCGGGAACTTCGTAGCGGGAGCTACGAAGCACTCACGCCTGGAGTCAACGAGATCGCGGCTCAACGCGGCAGCAAGACGAAAGCGGACCACGGCGAACGTAGCCACCTGCAGGCTTGAATCCGTTCCGTGCTTCCATCCCGTGCCTACAGACCCGAGTCACCATGTCATCGCAATGCGTCATCGCAAAAGGTCTATTCAAAAAGAAGTCGTGCACTTCTCTAATGCTGCCCTCCCTACAGTACCTCGTCTATCGACTAATCGCCATCGCTTAAAATTCATCGATACACACTTCGAACAATTTTCTAGGAAACTAGTCACAGTTGCCAAGCCGTTCCATTGGGGCCATCCAGCCCCCACACGCAACCCTGCACCGGTCACCCGCCACGGGGGCACTGTTCTCTTCGCCGCCCACCGGACACTTACTGTCCCGACGCACCTATGACAACCGTGGGTCCCTCGTCTGCCGTCGCTTATTACTTCAACCAACCATAGAGCAGTGGTGTGTCGTCATCTCGAACCGTGGGCCAGTCACAGACCCCTCCTAGTACGGCTCCCATTCAAATGCCCAGATCAAGTCTCCTACTACCGCTCTGTTCTTCTGGTAACCATCTGCCACCCGGTCATCTTCAAGAGCTCACTATCACCAGGAGCCAGTCGTCTACCAGCGTTTCATTCCCTCGTCAACCGTATACGAGTCACCTTCCCTCGTTTCGTCCTTCCAGTAACCGTGAACCGCTGGAGTGACATCAGCGAGTACCCTTCTCAACCACGATCTTGTATGCTGCCGCCACTTGCTCTTCTACCAATTCTGGGCCTGTGAGCGGTTACGATGCTCTCTCCTTGCGGAGATTGGGCCACTCAGGGCTCTCATCGACCCTGGGCCAATCATCTGCCGTTGTTCATCTGTCTTCGTACACACAGGAACCGACCTCCACTCCTGATCAGCTGCCACCTCCGCTTCGCTGTCTCCCTCGTTGTCAGCGCTGCCTCCGTGAAACCTTCACCTTCGGCCGATACGTACACGCCACCAAGCTAGCTCATCTTCTGGCGCCCCCGCACGCCGTCGGAGCCAGGGATAAGGTCCTTGAGTCGTCCAGGGACATAACGATCTCAATAGAAATATCTATGCATGTCTTTGACAAACTCGTTCCCGCGACGAACAACTACAAATGCAAGGACAACTGCCGGACATCGCAGTCATCAACAGTGATGCCGAACACAAGCCCAACGGCAATAGCGCTACCCCGGCCCCCCATTCACCATGGACGAACCCCTGGCGACAGCTGCTGGATGGGTTCAAGGTGCTGTGGGCTCCCGCTATATGCCGAGGTTCCCGCGATTAAAGCCGATGGACAAGTCCGAACGGAACGAGTGGGCTTCATGAGTCAGCAGCAAGCCGTGGCCCGAAGCCGACGTCACCAACGAAGAGCGATTCGAAGACTGGGTCGACTCCGTAGCGGCCGCAGTCCGACATGCAGCATTCAACATGGAAGAAACCGCCATGATTCAACCACTGTGAAACAGAATCCCAGAGGCCCGGGCACCAAGGTCGAATACTTCTACGCAGACGTTGCCACGAGAATGCTCCCAATCAGCAACTACGTCGCCAACATGCACATGGCGATTGCGACCATCCAACTCGGAGACTTCCCACGGCTCAGGGAACTGCTCAACAAACGAATAACGCGCTACGTGAGACTTGTTCACTCCTGGGGTGTCACAGAGACCATATCACGCATTCCTGGAGCGGCGCATCCTTGACGTGGCGTCTCCGCAGAGGAGGACCTGGTTTGTAAACATGGCACGGGGACGAGCCT